GAATAAAACTTTTTTATTTAGAATTTGTCTTAAAATAATTAGTATTTTTTTTATTTTAAGAGAGATAAATATTTTTTTTTTATTTTGGTTGCACAATAGGATGTTACCATCTCACATCCCTTATTCTATCCTACTTGCATATTATGCGACTCAAACTCATGACTTATTATTTCTAGCGGAAAGAGATAACTATTGAGTTACTTAAGTCGTTGACATTTTTTTCTTATTTTAATCTTATAATTGTCTCCCAATTGTAATTATCCATTATTTGATTAAAACATTTTTATTTTTCAAAGATAAAATAAGTAAAAATAAAATTTGTCTCTAAATCCTTAATCTGAAAATAAAATAAAAAAATCTGTTATTTTAGGAAAGAAAGAGTATATAATATATAGATATAAATAATTTTCATTTTTTATTTTTCAAGATTGATAATTTTCTCTTTTACTTGAACCCTATTGTTATCACTTCAGTTCCACTTTATCATCAATTTTTTTTTCTATTTTTATTAAAGATAAATCCATAAATTGTTTAAAAATTTTTACTAATGTGTAAAAGCAGAAAAAAAAAATCAAAAACAGTTATTTCGGTACAAATAAGTACTATACTATTTACTTAAAGATTTAAAAAAACAAACGATAATTATTTTAAATCAAATTTCAAATAAAAAAATGACTTTGCGACAAAGGGGGTAATTCAAACCAGCAACATCAACCCCTTTAACGTCGCTAGGTTTGTTAGGTACACTAAACTATATATATTACGTAACTACTACAGCTGCAATTTAAAAAAAGAAAAAAGAAAGAAAAAAAAAAAAAGAAAAGAAAGGCGTTTTTTAACTTAACATGCAAAAATAAATATTTTTTTATTAACTTTTCAATATTAGATAATTACATTGAATTCTGATTTATCTAGAATTAAATCGTGTCAAACCCTATTAAGGGAAAACTCTCTCAGCATATATTTTTTTGTTCACAAGACTCGAACTCAAAATTTTGTTTAAAAAAAATCAAATTTCTTCCACTCAAATCAACATATTGTTGGTGCAAAAATAAATATTCTTACCTGTTGATTTACCTAATAAGTACATTTAAGTAATTTTATAGACATATTTACACTTTTTTTAATAAATCAGCTTAAAAATCTGCAATAAAAAAACTATTTAAAAATTGAATTCGCTCTCTCTCTCTCTCTCTCTCTCTCTTTTCTTTTCTTGTGTTTTGTTTGAAAATCAAATATGTTTTTTGAGCTTCCTTTTACGATGCTTCACAAATACCATTTTCACACAGACCAGATCATCTAATGTAAATTTATTGTTTTTAATTAATTTTTTATATAATTTTATGAATTTTAATTAAGCAAAACCATAAGTTAAGCCCCTGAACTAAACCTAGAATCACTATTAAACTCATAGACTTTAATTGATGCATATAAGCTCCTGAACTCTGCAATTGAAGCAATTTAACCTTTACTATCACAGCCAACTTAACTATCATTAATTACCATTAACTATCG